ACCATTAAGAAGTCTTACTAGGTAGACATATGGATTTTATGATATTTATTTAAAAAAATATCATGCTTGGTGATGTAAAGCTAAAAATCTAATAAAATGAATATTGTTCGGATTATGCGGGTATTTCAAAATTGTAACAATTCATATTGATTTAAATGAATAGTGTCTTTTAATTTGAAATAAAATTAAATAGAAAAAACATATTATTTTATTTATACATTCCAAATCATTATTTTTTTACATACCATATATAACTACAATTATCATTATCATTTCTGCATTGTATACGGGTCAAAAATTCATTTTGATATATATATATGGGAATAAGCTAAAATTTCTTTAATATGGTCATTTGCTTCAGGTCACAAAATATTTATCAAGTATAAACAGGTTAAACTAATATATTTGTCATTTTTATTATAAACTAACAAACGGATTAATAGTTTTATTAACAAAAACGAAATCCCGCACTTTCAAAGAGCGGGTCAAAATCTACAATATTTACATATATGCCACTAGAATATTTAAAACCTATGATTTTTATTTAATTCATTACAAAATCTATTTAATCCTAACAAAATATATTTAATCCAACAATATTAATTTTAAGCTTTTTTAAATAACCAAATAACAATAAAATCTAATATTTTAACCCCTCCTTAATTTTAGGATTGATTTGTTTGTTCTATAACTGTTTTATCTGTTTTTCAAAATTAAAAATATCCAATATATTTTTAATATCTGCACTTAAATTACAATTAAAACTATGTGAAAATTATTTTTCAATATTTCAAAACATTTTTCACATGATGCAATTATGATTTAAAATGACCAAATAAATGTTAATTTTTAAGTTTAAATAAATAACTACAAAGATTGAATTCTAAAATCAATATGACATAAAATTTACTAAATATATGCGCTTAAAAACTATAATTTTACATAAATTTTAATTATTTTTAAAATAAATATTTTAAATTTTAAAATAAAGTTGATTTTACAAAATTAATCTGCAATTAATGAAGTAGAAATTTTACAATTAATATTTACAGATTGTTTCATTAAATATGTTAAATATTTCTTGAGTACAAATGGATCTCACAAATACATTTTTTATTTCTGTTGTCATCTAACAAACGAGTTAATAATTTTATCAACAAGAAACGGGTCTCTGTCTAGGAATGATTCAAAAACGAATTGGTAAAATATATCTAAAAATAATTTTTATTTAAAAAACAATTTTAACCAATATGAAATTATTAAAAATTAATTATCTTATTTCAATTTTTACAAATCAATACTTTAGATTACCAAATAGAACTCATAAATTTTATCGGATCCCTATAATTTGTTATTTAACTAAAACGAATAAAAAAATAAATCCTACACCACACATTAAATTGTACGTAATTTTATTTAATCTATATATGTCGAACCAAACCAAATTATTAACAACAATCGATCTGAAACCCGGATACTCATGCCTATACATACTTGTGAATAATCGAACAAGGGCATAAATTTAAAGCAAAAACGGTTGACCCGCCCTCTTTAAGGGCGGGTCAAAATCTAGTTACTATTCAAATCATAAGTCTAGTGAAAAGTGAAAATGAGAACAATAACCAACACAACAGTTAAAAGAGATTCACAATCTCAACTCGAAAAAAAAATTGTTTGATAAACTCAACTAACAAGTACCCACAGGTGTACTTGTTTGTGGAAACCTATTTAAGGATATAAGGTACACCTGAGACGATATAAGGAACACACATAAACAAAGATTGCATATTACAGTAAGAAAACCACTTAAGACCCAAAACCAACCATCAACGAACCAAGAGTTGAGTAATGAGACGAGTGCATGGTGGAGAAAAATACTCAAATATGAAAAATTTCCAGACCTTGGAAATGACAATAGTCTCCAGATTTCTGCAGAGAGAAAATTATGGTTCTGGTCCCCGCTTCCATTTTGCTTCTTGGTAAAATGAAAGTTTTCTCTCTTTTTTTTTTCTTTCTACTAAATGAGATTCTTCCATATTTTCAATATTGAAGAGTTTAATTATTTAACTGACGTTTTCACGACTATATAAAGGGAACCCATATCCTAAAATGAAGGATT